CAAAAGAGTTCACCAATTTTTTATAGAATGATGATGTGCTTGGAATTTCAGACATGGTGCTTGCTCGTTGTTTTACTGTACACTGGCTCTCTCGGGCACTATGACATCCGTAACTTAGGGCGTGTGGTCTGTTCAGAAGTTCAAAATAAAGCTCGAACTTTGGGTGGTTACCCTACTCGCTAGTTTCGCGAAGGGTGCTTCGCGAACCAATCATTGTATGGGCTCTGCAAAAGTTCGAGTTTGAAATATGAACTTGACTCGAGTCGGAGGTGGGAACGTGCGTGCGCACTTTCATGCGAGCGTGTGTGATTTGCAGCACATCCGAACAGCTGGCGAAACGGGCGAGCGCTTCGCCAGTGCATGAAGTTGCACAACGAAGACACCCCACAATTCGTGCACACAGTGGTAGCCACGTGTCCAGCATCGTGGCACGTTCGAGCACGATGTGGCAACGCAAGCGAATGACGAGTATACAAGGTGTTGCCACGGGGCTATTTGTACCCTGGCTACACACTCGGCGCGGAAGGTGAGTTGGAGCTCTAGGTCCTTGTAAACTGAGGCGCAAAATGTTGACGTGGCGCACTGTCAAGACGAGCGAACCGGGTAACCTATGATGTTGACGTGGGCCTCGGCTCGTTTTTACAAGTTCGAATGTCGGGGTTTGACCTTGTATGTGTGTGTGATTTTTTACAGTGTGGTAAGCCCGCGGTTCGAACTTAGATAGAAGGAAATTCGAACTTCTTTTGTTGTAAGTTCAGAACTAATTGCGCCCTAAAAACATAAACTTTTACAAATTTCAAAGACCTCACGCGCCCTTTTTTTTTGAAACAAATTGACGGAACCAACGAGTTGTTGCGGCGCTCCTACTGTTTCAGCACGGATGTACAGTGAATGGGCAGTGTGAGGTGACGACGCGTCATGCGATGCTCCACCACCTTCATCAATCACGAGCGACACCACTTGCCGAATTGTTGTAGGACCCCCATGTCTGTTTCGTAGCCCCCCCACCTCACCGCTCCTCTGAATCTTCTGCTGTGTGACTTCTTTGCTGGATGTCAGCCGGGGGTGCACTCGCTTTGACGACAATCACCCAAGTCTTCTTGGAAACTTTGGTCCAAGTTGGTTCATGACATCGGTTCCTTCCATCTCCGGGGACTGATTGGTACTTTAAGGAAGTACGTTTAAGGCAAGTCATAACACGGTTCATGACCTTCGAAAACGTTCGGACGCCGTGCTAGTGTCTCATGCGTCGTGGTGGTGGCCCATTCGATTGGGTGTGAGAAATGTGCGAAACCTCGTGAACCATTCCGCACACAATCTCGTGGCGCCTGTCCAGTCATCCAGCCGGTGATTGGTGCTCTCTTGCGCTCTCTGGGAATGATTAATCCGACGGACCGGACGTGCTCGCTCGGGGACATGCTGTTCTCGGAAGGAGCCACGAAGTCCGGATTTCCCGGGGGGACGTTGACAGCGGTGACAATGAGAAGAATTTGGTTGGCCAGAGTGGATGCCGTTTTCCGGAAGGAGAGGTTTCAGAGGAAAAAGGTGGCAAGGGCGGCAATTTATGATTTTATGCGTCACGCGAGGCTGTACAGAGCGGAAAAGTTAAGGAAGGCAGCAAAGAACAAGAACATGCAAGGACAGGTACTGGACCCGTGGGGGGGTCTGGCAGGAGATGAACGAGCGGCAATCGCAAGGATAAGCGAGGCAGGGGTGCAAGCCACGTGGAAGGTGGATTTTCTCTCCGTTTGGCAGAACCCCAAAACCTTCCACCGGCCGCCGTAAACGTGGTCAGGGGGGAGGCATCTCAGCTAAGGCTGGGATGTAGCTGTCCCCTCTGGTATCCAGTTACGACTGCGAATGTATATGCATTGTTATAGTGCACTTGCGTTCAAAAAAAAAAAATTCCGCACACAATCTTGTTTTCCACAATCCTGCCTTCTGCACTACCCTCATTTTCGCCACTCAAAATTCCCGTTCAGCATGGTTATATTTATCCGAAGCATAATGCTGGCTGGCTTGAGGTTTTTTGTTCCCGCCCCCCGTCCGGAACACCTAAATGCGATGTCCTTCCGTTCCATCCCACACTACTTTCTTGAATATCGAATGTGACTCACATTTGACACCGTAGCTCACTCGAAGAGATGCATCCACCGTGCGCGGCGGGAGGTGGTCTCGCTTCGCCCAACGCCTTTTCTTCGATCCAGCGCTTCGCGAATTGCACTGGCTGGGTCGAGCATGGGCCTTCCTTGCGACTCGTGCAAAGGGACAGCCCCCAAGTTCCGCAGTCAAGTTCGACACGTCACAGGCGGTCTGCGTCGACGTCGTGTCTCTCCTTCCCTGCCGCCGCATTCACCGCTTCGCTCGCCGCGGTTTCACCCATCAATTCGCCAGGAAAGAGGTCGCCTTTTCAACCGACGACGCACAAAGCCTCTACCACACCACATGGCCGCACCGCCCTCTCCGTATCGACGTTCGCGACATCGCGATGTGCTGACGAGACTCTAGCCCATCTTGATTGCAGCGCCACTGCATTCAGTCAGTTTTCTCCCCGTGTCCACGCGACCAGCATAGAAGTGGGCGAGTTTTGTGCGACGCTCCGTCCGGCTGTGCTCACCGTCGCTCGTCGCCGCCACCGTCGCACGCCGTCGGATTCAAGCCTTTTTGGTGCATCCTATTGTGCGAGCGCTCTCCAGTCTCGAATTGTCGCCGAATCTGACCCGCAGACAGTGTTGTCTGAGTTGGCCGAGTCAACCCGGTCAAGCGACTCGACAGAGACCCAAAGGTTGACTGAGTCAGCTGTCGTGAGGCTGACTGAAACGACAACGACGCCGCCGCCAAACGGCTCATTGCACCATCCTACCTCCTCGGCGATGCACGTTGACACCAAGAATTTACCTTCCCCGAAGCCTCATTCGATTCCGACGTCGGCGCAGCCGATGCAGCCGATGCGTGTACAGATTCCGCAGCCGCAATCGTGCACTGAAGCGCAAGACTTTACGCGGCCATTCGCGCCGCCACATTTGGTGGAGCGCGGAAGTCATGCGCGAGCGACGATTCAACCCACATGCGCAGCAAACCGCGAGATCTGGGGAATTTCACATGACGCCCCGCGTGTCTTCCTGCCCGCCGCGTCGCACAGTCGCAGCAACAGCGGAGAGAGCAGCGAATGGGGGGAGGCGGGCGGGGAGGACTTGGCGGAGCAATACGAGCTGATGCGCGCATCCTCATCTTTTGACGATGCGCGGGCTTCGGCTGAGCTGGCATGCGATCCAAAGTGGATGGACGCGGCGCGGTGCAGAATCAGCGAAGCGGCTTTGCGCGTGGTGGAAACGCAGCAGGTGTTGATGGCGCTGGATGAAGACACGCGATATAGCAACTGCAATGATCGGGTCGTTCGCTCTAGTTTCTCATACGATCACCTAGCCACCCCTGCATCTACTACACCCCACAGTCGTTTACGAGTCTCGCTCGATTCATCAGCAACAGGGCCGTCGTTCAACTGGGGTCACCGTTGGTTCGCGCCTAAACAAGCGACACCTCCACCATCGTCTCACATCTCAACCGCTGATTGGAACGATATCGACGCTACGAATGAGAGCGGCTTTCCGTACCGATACACCGCCCCCGCTGCAGCGCTGTCAGCTGGTGCTCAGCTGGAGAAGGGTAACAATAACGGGATGAGCAAGTCCCTGGAACGACGTGAATTCAGCAAGCACAGATCATACCAGGAATCGCCAACTGTAGCGGTTCAGGCGCAACCCTCCCCCAGCGCCCTGCGCCGGAATATGTCCTTCCGCCAGTTGTCTTCCGCGTGGCACCGGAAAGACGGATCCACGTCATCCACGCCGCGAGCCACCGCCAGTGACGGTTTTGGGACCCCCGAGTGCACTACACCCAGTCATCCAGCAAAAACTATATCATTCTTTCCTAGAATTCGGGAATCCAAATCAGTGGCAATTTTTGCCATGATGAGTGACAACATACGCGCTATAAGCAGCAGTGACAGCCCTTGCAGCAGCTTCAAGAGCCCTATACCCAGCAGCAGTAGTAGCTACAGCTTCAACAAATACAGCCCCAGCAGCAGCAACAGCAGGGAGGTGAAGGAGAGCGAGAGCATGGAGAGGAGCAAGGGGGGTAGGAATAAGGCATTTGCAGGGATGGTGCCAGTGGTACCAAAGCAATCCCTTAGGCGCACGCTGAGCAGTGCTAAGGAAAGGCTACAGCTCCTGGGAATCAGCAAAGGGAAGTGAAGCAGCCAAACTGGCTGGTGGCTGCAGATTCAGCAAAATGACATCCCTGCAGTCACATGGAACTCTGTAACTCTAACTGGATTATAGCCCAGCATTAATTACAGATTATGTGCAGCTGCTGATGTGTATGCTTCATACCTAAATGGTTAGCGCTTTCTCCCCTAACAATGTTTTCTCTGTCCCAGTCACCCATCCTCCTCCCATACCCTCTTCCATTTCAAACGCTTAGCAGAAGTACCGTAAAACTGCAGCGAGTGAGAAATGGTAGGGTATGTATGTGTTATGGGCAATGCATGACGCTCCTGGCCCAAAAATCTGCTCAGTAACAGGGGATGTCATTGTAACAGGGGACGGCATCGTGGCAAGTTTAACCATACAAACAGGTGCCCACAGTAGTTGTAAGACGGACGCACATGCAGCGTACTATGTACACGGTAGGAGTGGTGACTTTATGTAGTGACTTGACTTTTTGCGTGTGCAGATCACACATGGTGTAATTTTGTTTGAGGCAGGAAGAAGACGAGTGGCATGGTGGGCGTGATTGCATGATGCTGCCTGCAGTGCATAAAGAGACGAGGGTACAGGCATGATAGTGATTGAGCTTTGGGAATGGGCTTGCACGCACCAGGCACAAGGTGGACAAGAGCAGGGTTTTGAGTACATGCACAGGCACAGGCACAGGCACGAGTACAGAAAGCAAACTACGGACCTTGTTGCAAGTCTTGTGCAGGCAAGCAGGAGGATGAATCAAACGGACTCCGCAGGCAGGCTGAGCAGGAAGGAGGAGACCTCGTGCTGCAGCCACACGCACTCCTCTTTGGACAGATGCCCGCTGAAATCAAGCTGCTTGCCATCTGCTGCTGCTACTTCACAGAAGTATTTGTTGCTTATTGCCCATTCCTGAAAAGAGGGGCCGTGGGCCGGGAAGAAGCGCAAGGAGGAGAGCGTGAGATGGGGGTATTTCCTTAATGCAGCAGCCACCCGTACTCCTCTCTAGAGGGATGGGTGCCATGAGTAAGCTGCTTGCCGTCTCCTGCTGATACTCAACAGAAAGACATTCTGCTGAACCTCACCTCCTGAATGGAGGGGAGGAGGGGAGGGGAGGAGGGGAGGGGAGGAGGGCAAGGAGGAGGGCGTGAGTTTTAGGCACTTGCTCCCTGCTGCAGCCACCCGCACTCCTCTCGAAAGGGATGGGTGCCAAAATTAAGCTGCTTGCCGTCTACTGCTGCTACTCATTGGGCAGCTGAGGTGAGAAACTTGCCTTTTTGCAACGGTGAAGTGAGATGAGGTGAGGTGAGGTGAGGTGAGATTCGGCCGGCGGACACGGTGGGGATGGTAGTGCGGATGGTCCACCCGAACACCCTCGGCGGCACCCCTCAAACCCCTTCAGCAACCCTCAACACCTCTCAACATCACAGGGCGCACAGGGCGCACCATTTTGCAGAGGTCGACGCGAACAATAGATGCAGTGGGGATGGCGGTGTTGATGGTCCATCCAAACAGCTGCCACGTGTGCAGCAGCTGTGAGCCGTCGATTCGCATCGTGCGGACCACAAAAGCTGAGCACACACACACGAATGCCAAGCTGACGTGGATGGGATGGGTGTGATGGGGAGAAAGGAGAGGAGGCGGGCCCTTTAGAAGGGTTCTTCCAAATGCAACATAAATGCCGCATTGCACACGTGCTCGGGATTGGCAATAAGAGGTGAGGGCGGGGAGAGAGGGGTGGGAGAGGAGGGAGGGGAGGAGGGCCGTTTTGTCATGAGTGAAAATCGTTTCACGGTGCTGCGTTGCGCACTGTGAATGCCGCACACACGCTCGGAACTGCCATGCTGACGAGGGTGGAGAGTGAGGAGGGGGGAGTGGGAGGCGGGGAGGAGAGGGGGGCGCGGGCGGGGTGAGTGGGAAGGAATGACAGAGGGATGGCAAGGGGCGGTAGGTGAATGGAATCCAGGGGCACCACAGATGGATCATGGATGCACACACCGCTCATCGCTCCCACCGCTCAAAACCCCTCGAGAGTCAACACTCCTCTGCATCCCTCCACATCCCTCATCACCCCTCCCCACCCTTCTTATTCCGCATAAGCATCACCATCTTTTCCCAAGGCACAGTGTGCAGAGAGCAGAGGCAACATACATAAGGGTGGACGGGGTTCTTAGACAAATCTTCCCACACCCCTCAACACCTCTCAGCACTCCCCGAACCTCTCACCACCCCTCACAACTCCTCTGAAGGCTCACAGTGTGCAGCAAATGGGTGGAAGGGGTTGCTGCTTCCCTGGCGGTTCACACCACCACACGCACACACCACACCACTCCTGATAAACAGCACCCCTCAGCACCCCTGAGCACCCCTCAACAGTCCTCCTAAGGCTCACAGTGTGCAGATAGCAGAGCCGACAGGACGGATGGGCGAAAGGGGTGTCTGCTGCCTCGTCCTCTCGCCATCATCCAGCATCAGAGGCATTAGCACTATCAGACCACATAAAACACAATACTGTGCAGTGATGAGAGATGGGAGATGGGAGATGAGACAGGAGAAGAGCACGGTAAACATATATATTTCTGCTGATTTTTTTATGCTGTTGTTGAAAATGAGAGAAAAAAAACAGCGGCAACCGCACCAATGGAAGCGACATGAGAGAGAGTAACTGTGCAACGATGGGCGACAGGAGGTGAGAGGAAGGCTTTGGTGAGCAAGGTAATCCTCTATTTGGAGAAGAGAAGGAAGATAGTCGCTGGTAGGTAGTGGTGCACTAGATGGGTGGCCTGTGGAGCGTTGATGCTTGTGGGATGAGCAGCACCGTGAGAGGGACAACTCGTTTTTGAGGCGCCTGAAAAACGACCTCAGAGCAGCACCGTGAGAGGGACAACTTGTTTTTGAGGCGCCTGAAAAACGACCTCAGAGCAGCACCGTGAGAGGGACAACTCGTTTTTGAGGCTCCTGAAAAACGACCTCAGAGCAGCACCGTGAGAGGGACAACTTGTTTTTGAGGCGCCTGAAAAACGACCTCAGAGCAGCACCATGAGAGGGACAACTCGTTTTTGAGGCTCCTGAAAAACGACCTCAGAGCAGCACCGTGAGAGGGACAACTCGTTTTTGAGGCGCCTCAAAAACGACCTCAGAGCAGCACCGTGAGAGGGACAACTCGTTTTTGAGGCGCCTCAAAAACGACCTCAGAGCAGCACCGTGAGAGGGACAAACTCGTTTTTGAGGCGCCTGAAAAACGACCTCAGAGCAGCACCGTGAGAGGGACAACTCGTTTTTGAGGTGCCTCAAAAACGACCTCAGAGCAGCACCGTGAGAGGGACAACTCGTTTTTGAGGCGCCTGAAAAACGACCTCAGAGCAGCACCGTGAGAGGGACAACTCGTTTTTGAGGCGCCTCAAAAACGACCTCAGAGCAGCACCGTGAGAGGGACGAACTCCCTCTGGTGTTTGAAAAAGCTGCGAGCACAAGTGCTTATTTAGGCATCTAGAAATTGCACCCATATCGCCCCCATCGCTGCCACCACAGCCATCGCCCCCCATCGCCCCCACCACAGGCACCACAGCCGTCGCCCCCATCGGCCATACCATGAAGCCAGCTAGCACCCACCGCACCCGTCGGCCACTGCACCCATCGGCCACTGCACCCATCGGCCACTGCACCCATCGGCAATGTTCCAGAGTTTCAAACTCCCCGCAATGCGGGCAGACCGGCTTTCCACTCAGGAAGGAAAGCCGTTCGCCCACCTGAAGGTTGAGACTGTGAATTCTCAGCAGCACATCCCGCGGTCGGTTCGGCGTCACCGGCGAGTCCCGAATTTTCACAACCCTTTTCCAGGCAATGGCTCCTGCCCATCTGCCCGCCCAGAGCTCCCGTTTGGCCGATTGATGTTTCGACTGTTGCCAGTTCCCCTTCAACTCCTTCAGCGATGGTATCCCCCCACCACTGAAAGCCGCTGTGCGCTGTAGCGGAGTGCGGAGCTGGGTGGTGGGTGCACAGGATTGCTCGGCTGAGAGGAGAAGCAGTTTCCAGCTCTGCGGTGCAGCCTCCCACGCCCGTAGAGCAAGCTTTGCCTGCTTCGAGCCACCGAGCTCCCTCGCTAGGGTTTTGTCCAAGGATCCAGACGGTTGTGGGGGCAGTTCGGAAGGCTCTGCGCATGCTGAATCCGACGAGGCATGTTGACAGCTTGGGTGACCTACTGTTTGGCAACACCGCTTCCACCTCAGCTTTTCCGGAAGCATCTCTCTCGGCAATCGCAATACACCAGATTTGGGCAGAACGGTGTGATTGCGTGTTTCGAGGCAAGAGGTTTCGGGCCAGGCGGGTGCTGAGGAGGATTGAAGCAGCTTTCAGGCTCCATGTGCGGGTGTACACTCGGGCAACAGGGATAAAGCTGAACATGAAGGGTGACTTGAGGCAGGGCGGGAAGACATACGCGCTGGCAGAACAGGAGGGTCGGCTCCTTGGACGTGTCCGGTCTCTGAATGGCAAGGGCTGGAAATGGTCCCATCGCTTTGGCGCGCTGTGGAATCTTGCGCGAGGGGCACTGCATCCCCCTTAGAGTCGTCCCCTGAGGCTGGCACGCTGCCGGGCCTCTCACGCTCAGTTACGACTGATATATGTTTGTATGCACTAGCATCATCGGTGTATATCTTAACATATTAAAAAAAAAAAAAAAAAAAAAAAAAAAACTGCACCCATCGGCCACTGCACCCATCGGCCACTGCACCCATCGGCCACTGCACCCATCGGCCACTGCACCCATCGGCCACTGCACCCACCGCCCACTACACCCACCGCCCACTGCACCCACCGCCCACTGCACCCACCGCCCATACCGTGAAGCCGAGTGCCGCTTTGGCCGGATGGACGGGCGGCAGGCGGATGAAGAGAGCAGAGCTTGTCCTCTCCAGTAGCTGGAGGTGGAAGGAGGGGGGGGGTTGTTGGGGGGGATGGGCGCAAGGGGGAAAGGGGATTAGCTCAAAGGGGCGGAAGGCGGATGAAGAGGCCCGAGCTGGTCCTCTCCAGCAGCTGGGGGGAGGAGCGGGGGGGGTTGGCGCAAGGGGGAATGGGGGATAACCCCAGTGGAAAATGGAAGGGGGGGGGGGAGGGGGATTAGCCCACTGGAGGGGCGGCAAGCGGATGAAGAGAGCAGATCTGGTCCTCTCCAGTAGCTGGCGGATGGGGGGGAGAGGAGAGAGGGGGAGGGAGGGAGAATGAGGAATAGGGGATTAGGCCAGTGGAAGGGGGAGGCGGGAAGGGGGGATTCGGCGCACTGGAGGGGTGGCAGGCGGAAGAACCGCGGAAGCTGGTCCTCTAAAGCAGGTGAGGGGCGGGAGGGAGGGGGAAGGGGATTGGCGCAAGGGGGAAAGGCGTGAGGCAAGGCGGAAAGGGGGATTAGCCCAGTGCAGGGGCAGGCGGATGAAGAGGTGGGAGCTGGTGGTCTCGAGCAGCTGGGGGAGAGGCGATCGGACGGGAGGGGCAAGGGGAGGGGCAAGGGAAGGGGCAACGGGATGGGCAACGGGATGGGCAAGGGGAGGGGCAAGGGGGAGGGGCATGGGGGAGGGGCAAGGGGGAGAGGCAAGGGGAGGGGAGGGGAGGGGCAAGGGGAGGGGCAACGGGGAGGGGCATGGGGGAGGGGCAAGGGGGAGGGGCAACGGGAGAGGCAAGGGGGAGGGGCAATGGGGAGGGGCATGGTTGAGGGGCAAGGGGGAGGGTCAAGGGGGAGGGGCAAGGGGGAGGGGCAAGGGGGAGGGGCAAGGAGGAGCTGGTCCACGTCAGCAGCTGGTCGGAGCGGTTAAGATTACCACCGTATGCCAGCAAGTTTACATGTTGGTCTGAAGGAATGATATTAGAGCGGCATTCGACAACCGGCCATTGAAACGTCCCTTGACCACATTCTCCTCCCTCTCCCACCCGCACCCCCCCCCCACCCCCGCTTCCCCCCGCCTCCCCTTGTTCCCCCACCCTGTCCCCATCCCCATTGCCCGCCCCATGGGCGCACCACGCGCGTGCCAGCGGGCACACCATCGCTCAGCGGTTGCGACGCCTCCATCAACGGCGTCTCCATCTCCCCCGCAACAGACGCCGCAATTTGCGCCGACTTAGGCGCTGAGGAATTAGGCCCCGGCGCCGCCGCCGCCGCCGCATGCCGAGGAGCGAGCGCTATGGAAAAGGGGACGGCGACTGACTTCGTATGCCAGTCTTCTTGATTGCGACCGGCGGGCGCTGCGGCTTGCTCGGTTTCCGCGGCCGCGGGGGGGGCTGTGGAGGGACTTGCGGATTCCGCCATTACGACTAGGGGTGCGGAGATTGCGCGGTGGAAACGCGGTATAGCTTATAAAATAGGCGGAATGGATGGAACAGGGCTGTGGGTGAATTGAAAAGTAGACGTAAAAGCAGGAGAGACTATGGCGAAAAAGAGGAAATGTGAATAATTGAAGGCATGATGGAAGAATTGGAAATTCAATTACACAAATGGAAGAGGGGGGAGGGGGGGATCGGGGTTGGTGGGGGCGGGGCGGAGGGGGGATGGGGTGGAGAGGGGGAGAAGGCTGTTGGGAGACAAGCGGAGTGGACGAAGGAAATCCGCGCGACCGGGGCTGAAAAAGAACGACCCGGACCTTCTTGACTTTTGAATCAATGGTCGAGCTGTACGCGATATTAACAGCGCCACAACTGTGCTCGCAAAATAGACGTGGTTTTATTTACTGTAACAATCATCACATCACAAATCCCACATCGCTCAACATAGCACATAGCACTTTGGACCCTCACATACCCATTATAGCTTTTCAGAGATCCAGGTATGTGTTTGGTGGAGTATTTCATACAACCAATCATTTATCAGCCTCGTTTATGAATGAAAGATGTGGTCGGCACAATAACGAGCTCCATTCAACCATGAAGTGACTGGTGCCATACTTGCATTGCAGCAGATTCTCCTGGAAAGATGCCTGGCGAGGCAAGGCATACCCCTGATGAGCTACTTTCCTCAATGCCATTGAGAACCCCCTATGTCTAGCAACAAAAAAAATGTATACCACCGCTACAAGAGATGTTTCCGGTCTGGCCCTTCCGGGATCACTCTGGTAGCATGTGATAGCACATGCAAAAAGATGGGATGGGAGTGGCCATACGATGCGAGGCACGTCTTTCAGATAACCCCAATGTGTGGGTGGCAGCTGAGGTCACATGCCTGTCGGAAGTTTGAAGCTGCTGTGCAATATCGATACGGTAACATGAAATCATTCCAGGTCTGGTTATATTGACATCACTTTTGAGAATCCTCAAAAGTGGTTACAATACAGCTGTGCGATATCAATACGGTAACATGAAATCATTCCACGTCTGGACCTGGCTGGCACACTCTCCTCAACAATTTACAATACAACGGACACAGATGCGGCATTTGTACACGATGGTAGGTGTGGATGTGTCAATGGAGGGAGGGAGGTGCGTGATACGGCTTAATTGCGGTCACTGCAGTCCGCCCGTTTACGGGTCGATGGTGCTGCCTGCAGTGTGGCACGAGTGCGGGCATGATAAGGATTGAAGTTGGGAAAACAGACTTGCACACACCAGACACAAGGCGGACAAGAGCAAATCGACAGGCAAGCCAACAAAAACCTAAGAGTGCAGGCAGAGATGGAAATATGTACAGGCACAGGCACAGGCACAGGCACAGGCACAGGCACGGAAATCGGACCTTGTTCCAAATCTCGTGCAGGCGGACAGGAGCTCCAATGGAATCAAACGGACTCGGCAGCAAGGCCGAGCAGGTACGAGGACACCTCGTGCTGCAGCCACACGTTCTCCTCTCTGGTCTGGACGACTTTTGATTCGACAAAAAAGTCAAAGTGACCTGCTCACCTGGTTGCAAGTCTTGTGCCGGCAAAATGAAGGCAATCAAACGGACTCGGCAGCCAGGGAGAGCAGGTACGAGGACACCTCGTGCTGCAGCCACACGTTCTCCTCTAGAGACAGGTGCCCCCCGAAGTCAAGCTGCTTGCCGTCTGCTGCTGCTACTCGACAGAAGTACGTCGTGCTGGAGCGCCTCTCCTGAAATATGGAAGGGTTGAGGGAGGAAGCTTGAGTGAGTCCAACCAATCAGGTGCGAAAGGAGGACACCTCGTGCTGCAGCCACACGCACTCCTTGCGGCGCAAATGCCCCCCGAAGTCAAGCTGCTTGCCGTCTGCTGCTGCTACTCGGCAGAAGTACGTCGTGTCAAAGCGTTTCTCCTGAAAGAGGGGAAGTGGTGAGGGGTGTGGGGCGCAGGGGAGGTGATGCGAGGGAGGGGGTGATGCGAGGGAGGAGGTGATGCGAGGGAGGAGGTGATGTGAGGATCTTACCATTCCGCAGAGGGAGACTAGCTGAATGGACGTGGTGGGGATGCTGGTGTCATTTGTCCATCCAACACCCCTCAACACCCGTCTGCACCCCTCAGCACCACTCAACAAACCCCCCCACTCCTCCCAGAGCTCACATTGTGCTCTCATGCATTTACCAGTTTGCAGAGGGAGATGCGGACGATGGATGCGGTAGGGGTGGTTGTGTGGATGGTCCAACCGAACACCTCTCAGCACCCCTCAATATCCCCCAACACCCCTCTCAGGTCTCACGTGCCTTTACCAGTTTGCAGAGGGAGACGCAGACGATGGATGCGGTTGGGATGGTGGTGTGGATGGTCCAACCGAACACTCTTCAGAGCCCTTCAGAACCCCTCAGCACCCCTCTCAGGTCTCACAGGAATTTACCATTTTGCAGAGGGAGACGCGAATGATGGATGCGGTGGGGATGGTGGTGTCGATGGTCCAATCAAACAGCTGCCACGTGTGCAGCAGCTGTGAGCCGTCGATTTGCATCGTGCGCACCGTGAACGCTGCACACACGCTGACGACTGCCATGCTGACGTGGATGGGATGGGAGGGGGAGGCGGGGTGGGGAGGCGAACTTTGAGGCATTAGATTGGCACGTGAGCGGGAAAAGGATTTGGAAAAGGAATTAAGCATTCGTGGTACAGGCGCGTTCGCAATAAGCATTCGTGGTACAGGCGCGTTCGCATTAAGCGCACCATGAATGCTGCACACACGCTCAGCACGGCCAGGCTGACATTGGCGGCATGGAAGAGGGATGTGTAGAAGAGAGGGGTTCGGAAGGGTGGAGTGGGGAGGTTGAAGGGAAGGGGTATTGGTACAGAGAATTGTATGTTTGCATCGTGCACACACAACGCATAGCATACGCTCAGCACTACCCCTCCCCATCCCTCCGGACCCCTCCCAGGGCTCACAACATGGGGAGACGAGAGCAGAGGAAACAGGCATGAAGGGTGGGAGGAATTCCCGAGGTATATGTGCCTATATCCCTCACCACCCCTTACCACCCCTCAACACCGTTCCGAGGGCTCACAGTGCGCAGAGAGCTGAGACAGACAACAGGTGTGAAGGGCGGCAGGGGTGTCGGCTCCCCTGTGGGGTCACACACACCACACCACACCGCTCCCAAAATGCAATAACCGTCAGCACCCCTCCTCCTAAGGCTCACAGTGCGCAGAGAGCGGAGACAACAGGCGTGAAGGGCGGGAGAGGTGTCTGCTCCTCTGTGGGCGCATCAGCATCGAGCATCAGCGGCAGCAGCAGCGGCATCAGGCCAAGGAAAGCGAAGAACTGCGGCGCAATGAGAGACGGGAGATGGGAGATGGGAGATGGGAGATGGGAGGTGTGGGACAGACAGGAGAAAGGCGTTGGTGGCAGAGGGATGAGAGCGAAATTCTGTGCATGAAGGGGAGACAGGAGGTAGGAGAAAGTTGCTGGTATGTACAAGGCGGGCTGTGGTGCGTTGATGCTTGTGGTACGGACAGCACCGCGAGAGGCGAGAAAAGCCTTTTGAGTCGACTCAAAAGTGAGCTCCCTCAGCTGTTGGGATTCGCATCGCATCGATGGGCGCAACCACTTCTGAGTCTTTTTCTAGGCATCGAGACATCGCACCCATCCCACCCCTGTCGCACCCATCCCACCCCTGTCGCACCCATCCCACCCCTGTCGCACCCATCCCACCCCTGTCGCACCCATCCCACCCCTGTCGCACCCATCCCACCCCTGTCGCACCCATCCCACCCCTGTCGCACCCATCCCACCCCTGTCGCACCCACCTCACCCATTGCCGTACCGTGAAGCCGAGCGCCGCTTTGGCCGGCTGGAGGGGCGGGATGCGGATGAAGAGGGCGGAGCTGGTCCTCTCCAGTAGCTGGGGGGAAGAATTGGGGAGGGTTAAGGGGGATTGGTCGCAAGGGGGAAATGGGGATTAGCCCAGTGGACGGGAGAGATGAGAAGGGGGGATTGGCGCAGTGGAGGGACGGCAGGCGGATGAAGAGAGCGGAGCTGGTCCTCTCCAATAGCTTGGGGGGAGAGGGGGGAAGGGGAAAGGCGGAGAGAGGGTAGGGGAGTTGGCGTAAGGGGGAAAAGGGAGAGGAAAGGGAGGGGGATTAGTCCAGTGCAGGGGCGGCAGGCGGATGAAGAGAGCAGAGCTGGTCCTCTCCAGTAGCTAAGGGGAGGACGCAAGGGGTAGGGACCACGGGGAGGGGCAAAGGGGATGGGCAAGGGGAAGCAGGCGGATGAAGAGGTGAGCCACGGGTCCACATCAGCAGCTGCGGGAAGAGGGCAAGGCGGGGAGCTGGGCGCGGCGGGTCACTATCACTAGCGCAGGCCAGTGTAGTGTACCGTACTACTGGCTGCACGTGTTTTTTGAGAATTCTCAAAAAACACGTACTACTGGCTGGCTTGCCAGGCATTGACTTTTGAGGCGCCTCAAAAGGCAGGCTGACTTACCTAGGGATTGAGACGGGAGCCAAAGATGGTGGAATGCATTGAAGGACGGCATTCCAGCAGCCAGCTATTGAAACGACCCTTGACCATCCCCTCCCCTCCTCCCCACATTCAACCTTTTTTTTTGCCAACGACTTCCCCGCACGGCCCCCTCCCTTCTCCCGACCCTCCCCCCCTCCCCCAATCCCCCCTCCCCCCCCATCCCTTCCCCCTCCTATTGGGCGCACCACGTGCGTGCCAGCGGGCATACTATCGCTCAGCGTGTGCGACGGCTCGATCAACGGCGCCTCCATCTCCCCCGCAACTGGCGCCGCAACTGACGCCGCGACTGGCGCCGCCGTTGGCGCTGTGGAATCCGCCGCGTGCGGAGGAGCGAGCGCTATGGAAAAAGGGGCGGCGACCGCCTTTGTATGACTTGCTTCCGCCATTGCCACTCGCGAGGGGTGCGGCGGTGGAGCGGTTGAACGCGAGGGGTGCGGCGATGGTGTGGTACGGGGAACGCGACTCGGGTAGCTTATCCGGTAGAACAGACGGAACGGATGGAGCACTGCTGGGACTGAAAAGGAGACTGCAAAGCACGATGGTGTATAGATATATAAGAAAGTAGTGTGAATAATGACGCATGCGAGATTTGGAGAACTAATATGAAGTAACGAAAAGCGAAGGTGGAGAGACGGAAACTCGTTGGGGAGGAAGCATGGTGGGGAGGGAATGAATGGAGGGATTTCGTTGGGGACTGGGGCTGAATAGGAAGCACTTTGACCAACTTGACCCTCGGGAACTGCCCTGCTGGATAGGAGATGCCGTGCTGTATATGCGATATTAAAGGGCAACACCCGAATTACTCAACGGAGGTCAACGCGGGAAAATAGGTTTGGGAAAGCAGAGTGTTGAGGTTCGAAAACCTCTCCTAAACCTCTCTTCCCCGAAACCAGAAGGGGCGAGACATAAACTGGGCCCAGTTTGTGAAGGCGTTTCGGTAATTCGGGGGCTGGGCTTTAAGAGCGAAAATTCGGTCACAAAAGGACCAACACTACCAGTATTCCCATATATTCCAAAAACAGCTCTACAAATCCTAGGTTAGCGAAGACTCTCAATGGTCCACCCCGTATTTCAGCTATCACTAATAGCACATCACAAATCCCACCCCAGAGCATGAATCACACAGGGACGTGCGATTCCAGCTCTCGCGTCCAGTCATGACTCCAACCATCTTGCTCCTGTGCCTGCCTTGTCAACACAAGTCACAACCCCACTTCCCCATCCTACGCGTCATCATAAACACGCAAGAGCGGTGTGACAGAACACTTGTATTGCATGCTGTCCCACACACTCCCCGCTCCTGTGCCTGCCTAGCCAACTCCTTCATGCACCCACTTCCCCATCCTCCAGATCCTCATCTGCTCGCGAGCGGTGTGACGACTTCTTGGACTTGCTGCTGCGGTGCTTCCTCTCACGCTCCTTGCTCCTGTGCCCGCTGTCCTCTGACTCACTGTCACTCTCATGGTCCTGCCACACAATCAAGGAACAGAACAAATAGATGAGGGGGAATGTGGGCGATTCGAGCCTGCTTTTGAGTCGACTCAAAAGATGACGTGTCTCAAACAGCACACTCCCTGCTCCTGTGCCTGCTGTCCTCTGGCCTGCTGTCAGAGAGGCAAACAGAGAGCCGTCCTTACCTTGCGGGAGGACCGCCGGTGGTTGCTGCTGCCCTTGCTACGCTTGGACCTGCGAGATTCTTTCTCATCCTCCTCCTCGTCCTCATCCTCCTCATCATCCCGATGCCTCCTCCTGTGCTTCCTCTCCTTCTCCTTCTCCCTTTCCTTATCGTCCTTCCCTTTCCCCTTCTTCTTCTCCTCCCTATCCTTCTCCTTCTCCTTCCCCTTCCCCTTCTCGTCCTTCTCATCTTTCTCTCGCTTATCCTTGGATCGACTCTTCTCTTTCTCCTCCTCCCTATCCCTCTTCTCTCGCTTCTTCCCACCCTTCTCCCTCTCTTCCTCATCCTCCTCATCCTCATCCTCACTCTCGTCCCTCCTAGACCTCCTCCTGTGCTCCTTCCTCTTCTCCTTTGCCTTCGATCGTTCCAACTCCTTCCCTTTCGCGCGCTCCTTTCCTTCCTCATCAGACACATCACCACTCTTCCTCGCCTGCTTGCTGCCCCTAGGCCTGTCCTCTCCCTCCTCTAACTCTTCCTCCTCTCCCTCGCTCTCATCCGATTCTCCCCTATCCTTCCTCTTCTTCTCCCCATCTCTCTTCTTGTCCTCAGCCCCATCCCTCTTATCCTTCTCGTCCCCTTTCGCCTTATCTTCTTTGCTTCCCTCTGCTTCCTTGCCTTTATCCTTCTTTGCTCTCTCCTTGCCCTTGCTCCTCCGATCCTCACTTACCTTCTCAGAATCACTTTCACTCTCCTCTCCCTTCCTCTCCTTGCTTCTCTCCTTCGCCTTCTCCTTCTCCTTCTCCTTCTCCTTCTCCCGTTTCTCCTTCTCCTTTTCGTTATCTTTCTCTCTCTCCTTCTCCTTCTCCTTTTCCTTTTCCCTCTTCTCCTCCTTTTCCTTCTTCTCTCTCTCCTTCCTCTTCTCCTTCTCCTCTTTCTCTTTCTCCCGCTCTTCCTTCTCCTTCTTCTCCTTCTCCTTCTTCTCTTCTTCTTTCTTCGCCTGCAAATCCACAGGCACAGGCACAGGCACAGGCACGGGCACGGGAACAGGCACAGGCACAGGCACAGGCACAGGCACAGGCACAGGCACAGGCACGGACACGGGAACAGGCACAGACACAGGCACAGGCAAGAGGGAGAATGTAAGATGAGGTGGTAAGGTGGTAACAGAAGGAGTTGAGATGTGATCCGAGAGAGGGGAAGAGGAAAGAACAAGTGGAATCACAGTGGAAAGGAAGGAAAGAACAAGTGGAATCACAGTGGAAAGGAAGGAAAGAACAAGTGGAATCACAGTGGAAAGGAAGGAAAGAACAAGTGGAATCACAGTGGAAAGGAAGGAAAGAACAAGTGGAATCACAGTGGAAAGGAAGGAAAGAACAAGTGGAATCACAGTGGAAAGGAAGGAAAGAACAAGTGGAATCACAGTGGAAAGGAAGGAAAGAACAAGTGGAATCACAGTGGAAAGGAAGGAAAGAACAAGTGGAATCACAGTGGAAAGGAAGGAAAGAACAAGTGGAATCACAGTGGAAAGGAAGGAAAGAACAAGTGGAATCACAGTGGAAAGGAAGGAAAGAACAAGTGGAATCACAGTGGAAAGGAAGGAAAGAACAAGTGGAATCACAGTGGAAAGGAAGGAAAGAACAAGTGGAATCACAGTGGAAAGGAAGGAAAGAACAAGTGGAATCACAGTGGAAAGGAAGGAAAGAACAAGTGGAATCACAGTGGAAAGGAAGGAAAGAACAAGTGGAATCACTGTGGAAAGGAAGGAAAGAACAAGTGGAATCACAGTGGAAAGGAAGGAAAGAACAAGTGGAATCACAGTGGAAAGGAAGGAAAGAACAAGTGGAATCACAGTGGAAAGGAAGGAAAGAGGTGAAGGAATGCACAAAAGGCAGATGAGGTAGCAGAACCCAACCAAGGGACCGTCCCACAACAGCCTACATAGAGACACTTAAAAACTCAACTCAATGCTTGAATCAAAGAGCAGTGCAACATCATTGAGGCAAGACCCTCGAACTCATCACCTTCTCTTCCTTCTTCTTCCTCTCCTTCTCCTTCTCTTTCTCCTTCTCCTTCTCCCTCTTCTTCTCCTTGTGCAGCAGCCGAGCCACATGCTCCTCCACCACCTTGCGCCTCTCCGCCTCCTCCGGTATCGCCCTGTCACACGCACACAGGGACAAGGACAGAGAGCGGGCGAGTGAGCGGTGGCACACAAGTGAAAGCAGCCGAGCCATGTGCTCCTCCACCACCTTGCGCCTCTCCGTAAGACACAAATGGAGAGAGGGGGGTCGCACATAACGTCAGCCAGGTGCATTTGAGTCGACTCAAACCACACCGGGAGAGAAAGGCACACACGTCTCTGCAAAGCACGTCTCAAAACGAGCCAGTGGGCGGTGCTATTGCGCTACTACCATGCACTTGACTTGTATTTGTGCAGCACACTGCTACAACACAATACAAAGTCCGTGAAAACCCTAAACATATTACCACAACACAAAACCACCTACTTGTATTCTGACAGCGACTGAACGAGCGGTTTCGCCTCCTCCCACGTGCTGCTCCCTGAGAGCCCCTTGACGCCCCTGAGGGCGTCCGCAAGGTCCTCTGCCAGCCGCTTCTTGCGCCTCAACCCCTATGTGACGGAAGACGCTAGACGCTAGACGCTTGGGAGGAAATTTTGCGGTCAGCCCGGAAAAAAAATTCCCGACGCCAAAATTGAATTTCGCGATTTCGATGCGAAATTCAATTTCACGACATCTGCACCCCCTCCCACCCATTTCGACCTAAGAAACAGGCCCCTCATGCAAAGTTGAAATTCCTTCAACCAAAATTGAACACACACCTCTCTCAACCGCATAGCATCTAGAAAACCCAACCTTGATGGCAAACCACCAAGAGCTTGGGAAGCACAAATCCCCCATTTGTGCTTCCCATCTTTCACTTCTACCAAATTCTCTTTCAAAAACCCTTAAGGGTTTAGCTACTTCCCTCTCGAACCATGTCGTCTCCTAGTTCGTCGTCTAGTTCCGCCTCCTTGCATGGCGATGCCGTGGCGGAGGGTTCTTCCGCTCGTGTTTCCAAGGAAATGGAAGGAGTTGCGAAGAAGAAAAAGTATCCCGAACACCTGATCTACAAGCATTACTACTATTTTACGGATCCAAAGAAAAAGGGCGACCAAGTGGAGTGTGAGTTTTGCGGCAAGAAGTTTTCTTGGAGTAGTAGCCGTTGCCCCGAGCACCTTGCCGAGTGGCACGATCCTCATCACCGACGCAAGGCGGGAGTCGTTTGCAAGGATGTGCCGAACGAGGTTTCGAACAAGATCCGCGAGATGTTCGAAGAGAAGATTCGAGCGCGCAACCAAAAGGCGAAGGCCACGGATTCGGCACTCGTTTCGGTGAGCGGCAAGAGCGCGGCGGGAGAGAAGGCGAGGAAGTGCGGGCGCATGGACGATTTCTACGGCGAGGGTGGCGTGGCAGCGAAGAAGGCGGCCGACGAATCGATTGTCCTCTACCTCGCGGGGACGCGCACATCGGAGCGCCAGTGCGAGCACCCGTTCTTCCTCAACATGTTGCGCGCCGTCGCCGCCGCCGGCCAGGGATATGTTCCCCCCTAGCGGCACTACGTCGGGGGCGCCGGCCTGCAAGACTGCAAGCAGCGGATCGAGAAGGCGTTGTCGCCCGTTTCGAAGTCGTGGAGGGAGACGAGCGTGACGATCTCCAGCGACATGATGCAAGACACGAGCGGACGCGCGCAGATGAACGTCATATGCATCAACGACACTGGAGCTGTCTTTGTTGAGGCGGTTGACTGCAAGGCTGCGACGAAGAGTGGCTCGTCCATCGCTGGCGACCTGCAGCCAATCATCGAGCGCATCGGGGCCGAGCACGTCGTCGCGCTGTGCACGGACGGCGGCAGCAACTACAAAGCTGCTGGCAAGCTGCTGCAGAAGGAGTGGCCGCATCTCGACCTCGTTCCCTGCGCCACGCACGTGATGGATCTGTTGATGGAGGACACCGGCAAGATGGATTGGGCGCAGGTGGTTGTGACTCAGGCCGACAACATCATCAACTTCGTGCGCAGTCACCAGTGGACGCCGGCGTTCCTGCGGCTAGGGATGAGCAAGTGGCGAACACGAACGTGTTCGTGTTCGCCCCTACACGAACACCTTCGTTTGCCGAACCGAACACTGTTCGGTTCGGCGAACACTTTGAGCAAAAAATGGTGTTCGCCGTTCGCCTGTGAAGGCGTGTTCGGGCGAACCTCGAACAGTGTTCGTGTTCGTCACGGGCAAATTGCAGCGGCGGCCCGGACACGAACGTGTTCGGGCGAACATCGAACACTGTGCGGCGAACATTTTAAGCCAAAAAAAAATATCTGTTCAGTTCGCCTCGAACGTGTTCGAGGCGAACCGAACAGGTGTTCGCCACCTTGCTCATCCCTACCTGCGACTCCCGGAGATGCACGGCGAGAAGAAATCACTACAGGCCCTGCGCCCGGCAGGCACGCGCTTTGGAACGCAGTACATCGCAGTGTCTCGTCTGCTCAAGATTAGCCCCCAGCTGCAGGCGATGGTGGCGCACAAGGACTGGGCGGAGAAGGGGGGGGACACGCTGACGGGAGCGGATTTCGAGGGGTGGGTGAGCGACACGGCGTGGTGGAAGAAGGTGGACTTCTTCGTGCAGCTGATGGAGGTGTTCTACATCGTGATGCGGAGGACGGATTCAGCGGCGAAGGGGATGATGGGTCTGCTATACGACATCATGCTGCAACTCACAGAGTTGGATAAGCTCCTGGATGGGAGGGAGTGCAAGCTGAGCAGGGTGGATAAGGATAAGGTGAGGGAGCATTTGAGGAGGCGTTGGGACGAGAGCCTGGCATGCCCCCTCCACGTGGCAGGCCAGATCTTGAACCCGGCCAACCAGGAGGAGGGCATCTTTCTGCAAGACCCAGAGTGCACCACGGTCATGCAGGAGTGGCTGGAGCGCCAACAGGTCTTCGTAGATACGTACTAGGGGAAGGCCCGCGGCAAGAAGGGGCCGGTGCGGCCGCTGCACGAGGCGGTGACGGCCTACATCAGCGGCGATGGGAAGTTCGGCTCTGATACCGCGGCCAAGGGGCGTAAGGAGATTCAGCTGGGGAAGGGGAACGTGATGCTGTGGTGGCAGTACAATGGATGGGAGTACCTTGACCTGGCGCGTCTTGCGCGTCGCACGCTTTCCCAGACCGTTTCCGCTTCCCCGTGCGAGCGTAACTGGTCTACCTGGGATGGAGTGCATACGGCGCGCAGGAACCGGCTCGGGTCGGAGAAGGTCCGTGACCTTGTGTACATCGCGCACAACTAGAATGTTGTGCGCGATGTCCACAAGGGTGCAGATGACGCAGGGCCTAGTGGGAAGGTGAGAAGGAAGGGGGGGGTGGTGGAGGGGACCATTACCCCCCCTCCCCTCCCCGAGGGGTACAAATTGGAGGAGGATGGGGAGGTAGAGAAGGATGAGAACGACGTGTGCATCGATGAGTGGGAGGGCCATGAGGAGGAGGACGACGAGGCGGAGGAGGAGGAGGAGGAGGAGGAGGAGGAGGAGGAGGAGGAGGAGGAGGAGGAGGAGGAGGAGGAGGAGGAGGAGGAGGAGGAGGAGGAGGAGGAGGAGGAGGAGGAGGAGGATGAGTAGTAGGAGGAGAGGTTGGAGGAGGCCTAGTGATTGCACGGATGTAATAACTATGTATGATGAGAAATGAGGATTGTTGTGAACTCAAATTATGTGGAAAAGGTTTTGGTACAACTGAAATTTGACCCAAATGGGTCATGTTTGCATGTCCCCCACCCTCCCCATGGCCCATGGAAGTTTTTTGAGGCTGCCCGAATCTTTTTGTTAGGCCTGCCCGGGTTTCCGTCTAATATGCGTCTAGCCTACACCTAAATGCGTCTGGCGTCTTAGACGCTGCGTCTAGACGCAGCCGTCTAAGACGCTAGATGCGTCTTCCGTCGCAAATCAACCCCTACATCATACCTGCACCTTCTCTGTACTAGTGCACGTAACAACCACGCACTTGTATTCTGACAGCGACTGAACGAGTGGCTTCGCCTCCTCCCACGTGCTGCTCCCAGAGAGCCCCTTGACGCCCCTCAATGCGTCCGCGAGGTCCTCTGCCAGCCGCTTCTTGCGCCGAGCCTCCTTCTCCTCCCTCTCCACTGCTCGTTCCACCAGATCCTCCCACACTATCTGGTTACCACGTGATGGTGGTTACCATGCGTTGGTTTCCACAACGTTCATTCGATATCAATCGAAACGTTTTTCGCCGTGTTGTATTTTCCCGGAAGTTGCGTTGAAAGAAAGTTGTGGACGAAAGAAAGAGAGCATGGATTGTGAGGGGAGCATGGTGTGATGTAGAGATGAGAGGAGGTGATGGTGTGATGCGAGAAGATGCATAGTATGATTGGTCGCAAGAGGGCACACATTATTGTGCGCGTGTGCAAGCGCACGGGCACATGCACATGCCGCCACATAGGTTTACATGCACGCACATGCCATGTCAAACCAAAGAAGCCAGATCACATGCACTCCCACCCACATGCCAGCCCACATGCAGCAGACAGCACATAATCAGCCAAGGACACACACACAACGAGCCGTATCCCACCGAAGCAGCAGTCCAACGCACCTAGCCACAGCACACCACACACAGCACAACCAAGGAGGGGAGGGGAGAAGCAGGACGAGGAGAGAATGAGTGACTGCATTGGGTGAGGGGAAGGATCACGACAAGCAATCCTGAGCTCCAAAAAGCGCCACAGGTATTAGATGCATACATAGAGGCACAAGAAGCATGATTGCTCTATAATAAAAAGGTGGAACGAAAGAAGGAACGAAAGATAGAAGGAAAGAAACAGAGAAACAATGCTACAGGAACGGAGAGATGAATGTGAGGTGTGTGGTTTTGAGAGAATTGAGGAAGCAAAGGGGATTGGAGGTGGGTGAAGGTGGGAGGGGGGAAGGGAGGCAGGAGTTAAGAACTGAAAACGGGGAGAGGGGATGTGGTGTGGGGAAGGGTGGAAAGGCAGCAGATATTCTCGCATGCAAAGACACGCCCAGTGCTCCTGCTGCAATATCTCGCTTATGCCTCCCATTCAATCATACCCTTACCTGCTGGTTACCCTATGAAAGGACTGTCCTCGCTGACGAGTGTTGATGTCGACCCGGGTTGCTCAATGTACAGACAAAAGATGCCCACCAGGAGTCATCATTGCAGGCACTTGTGGTGTGGCAAAACGCACAGGTCTTACAGGGTGTGTGTATATCGCATGCGGTACTGAGTGGTTGTGAGGGTGAGTGTGGGTGACTGTGACTTTCCATCATGCCCTTGCAACTGGCTCAAGGGCAAGGGCCTTGGCACAGCAGCGGCATGGGGCATGACGATAAATGGTGGCTGAAAGGTAGGGGAGAGGCTTGAGGACGGGGAGGAGGAGAGGAAGGGAGGAGGGACAGCAGGCGCAGCGGGGCAGGGGACGGCATCGCACCTTGAGGCTCATATCGGCGACCTTAGGAGTCGACTCATCAGCTTTCGGTGGCAGCGGTGGCGGTGGCGGCAGCTTCACCTCCTCCTTGCCCTCCTTGCTCTCCTCCGCCTGCTCCTCTTTCTTCGCCGGGCCCGCGCCCTCCTGCTTCACTGCCTTGTCGCCCTCCTCCTGCTTCACTGCCTTGTCGCCCTCCTCCTGCTTGACTGTTGTCTTGTTGTCCTCAGCAGCTCCCGCCTCTCCTCCCTCCTTGCCCTCCTCCTGAGGCTCCTCCTTCACCTTCCCTGCCTCCCCCTCTCCCTCCTTCGCTCCCTCCTTTGCTCCCTCCTCCGTAATTCCGTCTTCCTTCTTCACGCCCCCCTCCTCTTTCACTCCGTTCATCTCCACATCTCCCTCCTTCCCCTCCTCCTTCGCCTCCGCCTTTACTGCCGTGCCAGCACCAGCATCGGGAGCAGCAGCGAGGGGAGGCGGCGGGGGAGGTGGAGGGGCGTAGCCCAGAGCAGCCTTGAACGCCTCGAAGGTGGTGGCTGACGTCACCACCACCTGGGGGGGAAATCGCGGAGGGGAGGAGAAAGGAAGGAGGGGAGGAGAAAGGAAGGAGGGGAGGAGAAAGGAAGGAGGGGAGGAGAAAGGAAGGAGGGGAGGGGGGAAGGAGGAGAAAGATTGGGAGGTGGAGGGCACGAGAAATCGGAGAGAGGGGGGTAGGGTCAGGGCGGAAGCAAGTCGGGGGCTCACTGTTGGGGGGTGCAACGATTTTGACACACGAATAGGGGATGAGTTAGAAGGCAGTAGGGGAAGATAGATGAATGGCTTGGATGAATTACATAGATAGGGGGGTGATGGGATATGAGGTGACGGAGTCGGGTGTAGGGTTTAGCGCACGTATGGCTTGGCTTGGCTTGGCTTGGCTTGGCTTGGTTAACCACTTGTTCTAGATGAGGTCCACCCCACCAAGAAGCGCACCTTCTTCTTGATGAGTCGTGTGCCATTGTAACGAGGTGACTTTTGAGTCGACTCAAAAGGGTTTAGCGCACGTATGGTTTGGTTTGGTTGGGTTAGGCATGGGCATTTGACCCGGACGGGTCGGGTCTGGTGTTCTGAGTATCCCAACCCGGGCGGGTCGGGTCGGGCCTACCCGTACGGGTCGGGTTGACCCGTGACCCGAAATCGGGTTAAGATACGGAAATCGTAGGATAGACTGCAATAGCGGTGCGCGAATGGCTCTGCATCGGGCTGGCAAACAAGACGCATGATAGCTATAGTGTAGGAGGAGGCGTAGGAGAGATCGTGGATAGGGAAACCTAGGTCGAAGTTGAAATTTGTACTCCACAGTTGCCAAATTTGTGCACAATACTGTCTCCAACCAATTTCCCCTCCCATCACCTATCTTAACCGCATTGCATCTAGATCATCCAACCAATTTGAGATTTGAAAGCTGGACAGTCGTCACTTCCAGATCTACAACCAAGTTCATCCGCCCTTAGATCCACGATTCCGCGCGTAGAGGGGGGAGGAATTCCAATCCGTGCGGATCTGTGGGGAGAATCACCGATCCGCGCGGTTCGTCGGGGGAAATCGTCGATCAGCGCGTATGACGAGTTTTTCTTGGGTATAATTACCCGACCCGACCCGACCCGAGGGTACACTACCCGAGGACGGGTCACAGAGACCCGTGCCCACTATGGCGGGTCGGGTACCCTAAATTTGACTTATCTTGACCCGCCGACCCGACCCGACCTGACCCGAACCCGTCACGGGTCGGCCTAGACGGGACGGGTCGGGACGGGTCGGGTCAAATGCCCATGTCTAGGTTGGGTTAGAACAGCAAGAAGCGCACCTTCTTCTTCTTAATGAGGTCCTTGATCTTGTCCTTGTCCTCCTTGTCAGAGGACAGGTGGGGTGGGGTGGAGGCCTTACGTGCTCTAGCCTCGAGGACAACGAGACGAGCCCCATGATTACTACAACGCACCTTCTTCTTCTTGATGAGGTCCTTGATCTTGTCCTTGTCCTCCTTGTACTGCTCAAACCATGAAGCGCACCACCGTGCAATGCCACACACAGGAGGATTTACAGCACAGCACGGCACACACAACCATGCACGCAACACACAAGAGGAACCAGTAAGGCACCGCATGCAGGGAGCAGGAAACACAATCACGGCACGGCATGCACGCAGCAGAAAGATTTAAACACACGGAGCAGGAAGGAATAGAAGAAGTAAAGGAGAACACGTGAATCAATAGGCACGGGAAAGCAGCAGGCAGCAGGGGCAACAGCAAGAGGTGAGGGCTGCAAGTGGGGCGAAACTTCCACGGGAGAGCACAACAGGCGACCTTGCATGACAGAGCCCGAGCAGTAGCAGCATACTCACTCCAGCCTTCCCCAGCGGCCACCTTCCCTAGTACCCACCAGTCCCAGCGGCGCCCACCTGCTTGTCTCTGTCATCAACGGCGTCCTCCAACAGTTGGGCGTCGACCCGCCCAGGTTGCACCTACCAACAACAACCACCTTCAGCAGTTGCCACCTGCCCCAGTACTGACCTCCCCCTCCAGCGCCCACCTGCTTGCCACCTCCCCCACCTGCTTGTCGAGGTCGTCAATGACATCCTCAAAGAGCTCCTTGGGCGTTGACCCGCCCAGGTTGGCTGCTACTGCCATGTACGCCGGCTCGTCCTTCACCTGGTAGAACAGAGGGAGGGAGAAAGAGAGAAAAGAGGGAGAGGGGAGATAGGGAGGAAACCGAGGAGTTTGAAAAGTTGGAAATGCAGGAGGAAGAGGAGGAATGGGGACGGAATGGAATGCAGATGGAATGGGTGATAGAATGGGGGAAACAAATTGCCATAGGAGTGAGTGTGACGCGCTGCCCAAGTACAGCAGGAGGGGACGGGAGCGGGTGGGACGAGACAAGCGCAAGTCACAGGAAGGGGCTGGGAAGGGGGGGAGGGAGGGGGAGGAAAGGAGGTGGCAAGTTTTGACACCCAACGGAGGAAGTTAGAAGGAATGACGACTACCACATGGCTGGGCTCGTGAGCAGGAAGAGGAGAAGGGGGGAAGTGGGGAGGGATAGAGTAGATCCACACATACCACGTTGACATGGGAGGGATAGAGTAGATCCACACATACCACGTTGACGTAGTCACGCCAGCGAGTGCGAGCAGTGAGGGTGAGCGCCGCCTTGTGCTCGTCCATCAGCCGCCGGAAGCCATCCCGGTTCTTGCGCTCCTGGCGCCGCTGTTGCTCCTGAGGAGTGGGGGGTGAGGGTTGGGATGTGGAAGGGGTGTGGGAGGAGGGGTGGAGTCAGGGGGGTTCAGTGGAGTGTGACATAGTGACGATTTTCAGAGATGGAAGATGCTGATGCACGATGATGGAAGTGCACTAACGGGGATGGGGTGTGCTTGAATTGAGTGGTGAACTTACCCTCTTCTGCTGCCTCTCCTCCTCCTCCCTCCTCTCCAGCTCACGAAGGAATTCCTGCCAGCACCCAGCAGCACCAAACAACAGCCAACAAAGGGCAAGAGCAGGGAGTGACGGAAAATGAGAAAACATTAGCCAGTGAATAAAATGGTCAAGAACGAGACGCGATTTGCGAAGAGCCTGCGAGTAAAAACTGGTTTGAACCTGACAGGACTCAGGACAACCCAAAGGTAGAACGGAACAGATTAGGGTTCAAGACCGCCTCAAGCACACACCTGGACTGGAAGACCTGAGCGCCCACCTGGAAGACTTCAAGGCGGTCGATCTTATCGAGCTTGGCGCAGCTCTCATGCTCCTCCAGGCGGTCCTGCACCTTGCGGTAGTGCGTGGCGGACTGCAGACATTGCGGGAGTGGGAGGGGTGGTAGGAGAGGGGAGACGACGGGAAGAGACGCGATGGGAGGGCTGAGGCCAAAGCCGGAGATGGGGCCCTCCCCCTTCCACCTCTCCTGCTCCTCCACCCGGTCCTGCACCTTGCGGTACCGCAAGGAAGGGGGAGCAGGAAGGAAGGCAGCCCGTCATGCACCAACACTCTCCCAAAGCAGCACAGAACTCAAGACAGAGCCAAAAGGCAGCGCAGCACTCACGGTGACATAGCCGCACGTCTCGAGGTAGTGCTTGAACTCCGCCATGTTGCGCTTCCTCTCCTCCCTCACTCGGTCCTTCTCCTGCCCGCCACAGGTAGCAGTGGGGGAAGGGAGGAAGGAAGGAGGCGTGTGAAGCCCATGAGAGGTGGGGAACTCGGGGGTCAATCATTGACGGCCCTCAACAGCTTCCCCTCCTCCCTCACTCAGTCCAGCTCTTGCCACGCTGCAGGAGCAACGGGGGGGGAGGGGAGGAGGGGGAGCAAGTCAATCTTGAAGACGCCTAACATATCGTTTCTCTAAGAAAAGGTTTCCTTGAGAAAATCGTTGCATTGACCACCGATTCAGGGCAGGAAGGCCAAAATTCCGCCAACGGGACAGTCAATATGCAGTCAACCGTGAACACAAGGTCAACCCAAGTCAACATGGGTCAACAGGAGTCAAAACTCACCTTCTTGACAAGGTCAACGAGGTAGTCCTCAAAGAGCTCCTCCCTCTCCCTCTCCGACTCCACAGCGAGTCAACACAAGTCAACACCAGTCAACGCGAGTCAACAGGAGTCAGCTCACCTTCTTGACGAGGTCAACGAGGTAGTCGTCAAAGAGCTCCTCCCTCTCCCTCTCCGACTCCACAGCGAGTCAACACAAGTCAACACCAGTCAACGCGAGTCAACAGGAGTCAGCTCACCTTCTTGACGAGGTCAACGAGGTAGTCGTCAAAGAGCTCCTCCCTCTCCCTCTCCGACTCCACAGCGAGTCAACACAAGTCAACACCAGTCAACGCGAGTCAACAGGAGTCAGCTCACCTTCTTGACGAGGTCAACGAGGTAGTCGTCAAAGAGCTCCTCCCTCTCCCTCTCCGACTCCACCGCCACGCACCGCAGGTCCTTCTCAAACAGCGCCGCCGCTTTCCTGGGAGGGGGGGAAGGGAGTGGGGGGTAGGGGTGCAGGTGGGAGGAAGGGGAGGGAGGGGAGGGTGAATAAAGAAGCTGTAGTAGTCGCTCCTCCCCCTCCCTCTCCCTCTCCGACTCCACCGCCACGCACCGCAGGTCCTTCTCAAACAGGGGAGCCGCTTTCCTGAGGGGAGTGGGGGAAGAAAGGGGGGTGTGGCGGGAAGGGAGGCGGAGGTTGGTTGAGGAAGCACACCAGCAGGCTGGGATGGGGATGAGCACTAGAGGAGCGGCAGCAGCAGGTGGGAGCAGCATGGATGCATGCATACATCACTTGTGCGAGCATGATCAAGGTGTGTGCCACTGTCAAGATCACAAAAGGAATGACTCACTGCCAGCGCAGCACGACTCACTGCCAGCTCAGCACAACCCAGTGCCAGGTCAGCAGGAGTGACTCACTGCCAGCGCATGGAGGAGGAGAGGTCCTTGGACTCGTCCAGCATGGCGATGAAGTCCTCGCGCACCTTCTTCTGCCGCAGCCGTTTCTCCTCCACCTCCTGCTTCTTGCGCTGCGTTATGTACTGCGGGATGGGAAAGTGAGGGAAAAGGAGAAGAGGGATAAGAGGGGGGGGGGGAAGAAGAAGGGGGAAGAGGGAGTGAGAGGAAGAGTGCTTCAGCCGCTTCTCCTCCGCCTCCTGCTTCTTGCGCTTCGTTATGTACTGTGGGCCAGGGGGGATAAGAAAAAGGAGCGGGGAAAGAAGGGAGGAAGAGTAAGAGTGCTTCACTGGATTATCCTCAGCCTCCTGCTGCGTGCGCTGCATCAGATACTGCTGTAAGGAGCAGTAGGAGGAGGACAAAAAGGAAGAGAGAGGCACTAAAAAGGCAAAGACTACCGTGGTTCAGCAGGTGCAAGCGGAAGTGTGAAGATAAAAAATTCTCGCTCTAACCACCACACACCTCGTTGAAGGCCTGTTTCCTCTCCCCCAGCGTCTTGAGCGTGCTATATCGCTTCGCACTGATGATTTTCCTCATTGCATACTCCCAAATTCCCTCTGTCACTCTGATATCACCCCACCCAACTGTCATGCCTCACTTGCTCCCACACTAGTTGAAGGCCTGCTTGCGCTCCCCCAGCGTCTTGAGCGCGTTGTATCGCTTGTCGTTGATGATCTTCTTCATTGCCTGATATCACGTGCCCTCTGTCACTCTCATGCCACCCCCACCCCCTCTCATGCCTCGCTTGCTCCCACACTACATGCCACATACCTCATTGAAGGCCTGCTTCCTCTCCCCCAACGTCTTGAGAGCGCCGTATCGCTTGTCACTGATGATCTTCTTCATCGCCTGATCCCACGTGCCCTCTGACGTCACCCCCACCGCCTCCAGCAGCTCCTTAAACGCCGCCTTGGCCTCCTGCCAATGGTAAAGAGGGAATGTGAGATCAAGGGAATGAGAAAGGAAGTGAGTGGGAAGCAAGTGCGAGGAGGAAAGAACACGGATTTTCACGACAGTGAGGGATAGCAGCTCCTTGCACGTTGCCTTGGCCTCCTATCATTGGTGAAGAAGGAATGAGAGACAAAGGGAATGGGAGACAAAGGGAATGAGGGGGAAAGGGGATGAGAGGCAAGGCAAAGAGGAGAGTGAAAGGCCTTTCACGACCCCCAGCAGCTTCATAGCGACGGCTTCGCCTCCCGTGGGTTGAAAGAAGAAGGATAGGCTGGCAACGCGAGGGGGACGCGAATGAGAGCAGGGGAATGAGGGCAGGAGAATGAAGGGACGAGCATGAAGGCAGGAGCCTGGGATGAGAGCCTAAACACCAAAACACGAAACCCTTAACCTAAACACTGGACCCTGACGCACCTGCTTGGTAGCATAGACAGGCTCGCCCACAGGGGCGGGAGGCGGCTTGGGTTCCGTGATGGGCGTGATGTTGATCTTGCTCACTCCTGGCGCTCCCTTGGCCTGGTCAAGACGAAGCGGACAGAAAGGAAAGGGGGAGGGCGGGGGGATAGGAAAATGGAACAGGCGGGATGGATGGGTGTGATGTTGATCCATCGCTGCTGCTGTCTTGGACTGATTGACAGGTTGAAGGAAAAATGGGATGGTAGAGAAGATAGGGTGCAGGAAGAAGGGTGACCGGTTACAGGGGTGATGGGCGTGAAGCTGATAGATGCATTGATAAATTTCTTGACCAATATATGTGGCTCTCTCTATTGTCCAGTAACTTTAACGTGACGTGATGGGTACACTTTATGAACAAGCCAACAACTGCGTGTTTGGAATTTCAATTTGAGGGTCTACAAGTGAAACGCAAGTAACAGCCCAGCCAACCACCATACCACACTGTACGCCTGTACACCGCACCACACACACCTCTGCTGCAGCTTGAGCTGGTTGTACCTGTGCCTGTGTGGCCGCAGCAGGCGGAAGCGGCCTGCTTGCAAACAACAGAGGAGGAGGAGGAGGAGGAAGGGACGGGAGTAGAACGGATTGGGCATGTGCGACAGCAGCAGCAGCAACTGGGAGAAGAGGAGGGGGAGGGAGGCACAGGAGTTGAGTTGAGCGAATTGAGCATTTGCGACAGCAGCAGAGCAGGGCCAATGTGTGAGCTAGGGAAAGGAGAGGGAGAAAGGGACGGGAGCTGGGCGTATTGGGCTGCACTGCACTCCCCTGTGTAAGCAGCACTCACGGGGTCAGGGCAGCCATTCCAGGCGCGGTAGCAGCGGCAGCAGGCAGAGGAACACCAGCAAGCGGCACAGGGGAAGCACCCAGCGGCCCTGCGCCTGGCACCAACGGCGCCATCCCTGGGAGAGGAGGCGTGTACGCGTAGGCAGCAGGAGGTACAGCTCCTGGTGCGGCAGTGGGTGGGGGGACACCTGGCAGGGGAGGCACCACACTCGCCATTGCTGCTGCTGCTCCGGGTGCTCCTGGCATGACTGGTGCTACTGGTGTCACGGGTGCTGTAGGGAGAGCAGCGGGAGCGGCAGCAGCGGGAGCAGCGGCAGCGGCAGCGGCGGCGGGAGGTGCGGCTGTGCCTGCCGCTGCTGCTTGTTCTGCGGCAGCCCTCTCCCGTGCGGCCTGCAGGCGGGAGAGGGAGACACGAGAGTGCATGAGGTGAGGTGACGTGCAGACACCAACTAGCAAGGGTGCTGCTGCTGGTGCCAGTACAAATACAAGCACTGTCGGATGAGCAGCAGCAACAGAAGCAGGAAAAAAGAAAAGAAAAGAGAAGAAAAGAAAAACTGCTGATTGGGTGACAGCTGGTTGACAAACCCAGCCTACCACAGTGGCTGCGCACCTTGAGGTCAGCGGGGATGGTCCACGTGCTCTGCTTGGTGAGCTTCATGAGGCACACACAGAAACACCACTCTGGCACATCTACCAGCTGCCTCACGCACGCAAGGACCTACAGGTGACCAGTACTCACATGTATTATCCATTCCATGGCCAGGCGCACCTTGAGGTCAGCGGGGATGGTCCACGTGCTCTGCTTGGTGATCTTGTTGAAGAAGTACTTTCGCCCCTCCGCTGTCGTGAACTCCTTCCACACTGTTGTGGCGTCCGCACGCTGTGAGAGGGGGCGTAAAGGGGAGAGGAATGAGGGGCGTTGCACTAGCTACTCGCACTTTCGCCCCTCCGCTGTCGTGAACTCCTTCCACACTGTTGTCGCATCCGCACGCTGCAGAGAGGCACGACAGTGACCAAGTGTGTGGGAGGGCAGATGCAAATACAGAGCGGCAAAAGGGGGCAAGAGGGGATGGGAGTGCCTTTATTGAAAATGCACTTGCGCCCCTGCATCGTCGTGTACTACTCGTGCCACTCCGACAATTCCTCACCCACCCCCCTTCACCTTCCCACAGGCTCGTATCCATCCATCCACTCGCCCCCACGCTTCCCCCCACGTGGCAGCTGAACCTCTTCCCTCACCCCCCCCCTCTAACCCACCTCGCTGGGCGTCATGAGGTCAGGGGGTTTCTCCCAGCTGGACTGGACTGCTGCGTGCGCTTGTTGAAAAGGTACGTGCGCCCCTACGGAGTCACGTACTCCTGCCACCCCCACAGTCCTTCCCTTGCCTCCTGTCAACAACCCCCCTTCCGCTCACCTCGCTGGGAGTCATGAGGTCAGTGGGTTTCTCCCAGCTGGACTGCTGCGTGCGCTTGTTGAAGAAGTACTTGCGCCCCTGCGGTGTTGAAGATACCTGCCACTCCCACGCCCACATCACCATGCATCCTCCTCCCCCCCACTCGCATTCCCGCACCCCTTGCAGCTGACCCACGCACCTCGCTGGGAGTCATGAGGTCAGTGGGTTTCTCCCAGCTGGACTGCTGCGTGCGCTTGTTGAAGAAATACTTGCGCCCCTGCGGAGTTGTGTACTCCTGCCACTCCGCCGCCGCTCCGCCCCCGGTACCCGTAGCGCCCGCTGGGGCAGCAGCTGCGCCTCCCCCAGGTGCGGCTTGCGTGGCCGCGGGGGCGGGTGTTGCTGTGGCGGGAGGTGGCATCTGGGGGAGGGGCACCTGCGGAAGAGGAGCAGCAAGGGGGGGAGGGGGAGGGTGAAGCGGGTGGTTCGAAGGCAGGGGAGAAGAGCGAAGAGGGACGATGATATGATGCGTTACAGAGAAAAGCCTTTCACTGGGCTTACAAGGTCAAGGAAAACAATAGGGTGGACTAAGGAAGGGAGAAGGAAAGTCGTGGTAAATGGGGGAATCGTTACAGTCGGTCACCCACTCACTCACCCCTCCAGCAGTAGTGGCAGCAGGGGCTGCCCCCCCAGGCGCGCCCTGCGCTGCTGCCTGCGCCCCTCCAGCGCCAGGCCCCCCCTGCGCTCCCCCTGGCGCAGGCGCGCCGGGCACCTGCCAGTGCGGTTGCTGATGGGGCGGGTGCTGCTGGGGGGGGTAGGATCCGGGGGCGGGCATGTGACCGGGCATGGGGGGGTAGGACGGGTACGGCTGCTGCTGCTGCGGCGGCGGCTGCTGCTGCTGCTGCTGCTGCTGCTGCTGCTGCTGCTGCTGCTGCTGCTGCTGCTGCTGGCCGGGGTATTGGGGGGGCTGGCCGGGGGCGCCGGGGTACTGCGGGTGCGGCTGGTGCTGCCCGGGGTACTGTTGGGGGTGCCCTTGCGCGCCGTACGGGGGAAGGTGGCCGGGCGGAGCGTTCGGGGGAAGCGGGGGGAAGGGGCGCGGCGGAGGGGCGCCTGGGTAGGGCGGGCGGAACTGCTGCTGGGGAGAGGCGTAGTGCCCCTGTGGAAGGCGGGAGGTTGCGAAGGGGGAGGGGGGAAGATGGGGGAAGATAGGTTACGATTGAAGAGAAGGAACAGAGCGATGACATGACAAGTGAGAAGGCAAGTCAGCCAGGAAAGCAAAGGAAAGCGGACGGTTGGACGCGGGCTGCGGGCAGGAGGGAGAAAAGAGGGAGCTAGGGAGAGAGGGAAGGATCAGGCTAGCGACAAGGAGGAGGAAAGGGAAAGGGACGGAGGCAGGAAGAAGGGAGGGAGGGAACGTGGGGCTGGCAGAGGGGAGTGAGGGAAGGGAAGGACGCAAGTGAGGGGGTGGGGGGGCGCGCGAGCAGAGGGTGCGCGCACCTGAGGGGGGGCGCCAGGGGGAAGCGGGGGCCCGCCAGGGCGAGCGCCATAAGGAGCGCCGGGAGGGGCAGGTCCGCCTGGTCCCCCCGCCCCTGGTGCTGCTGTTCCCGGCGCTCCGGGAGCTCCTGGCGCTCCCGGTGCGCCCGGTGCTCCCGGCGCGCCTGGCGCTCCCGGCGGCCCTTGCCCCTGCGCCTGCTGCTGTCCCGGAGGGGCTTGCCCTGGCGGCTGCTGGGGCGGTGGCTGAGTGCGTCCTGGGCCCGGCGGCAGGTGCGGCACTCCCATGCCTGGCGCGCCCGGCGGTGCTCCCGGCGCTCCCGGCGCTCCCGGAGCTCCTGGCGCTCCTGGCGGCTGGTACTGCAATGAGGGGCGAGCGGGTGTCGGGTGATGTGAATAAGGACAGTGTAAGAGCAGGAAGGACGGGGTGCGAAAGGAGGTACGGGGTGGAAACGGCGGAGAGGAGCGGAAGGAGGGGGACGCGAGAGGAGGAAAGTCAGCAGGCGCAAAGAGATGTTCACCTGTCCGCGGCCTGCAGGCCCGGGCAACAAACCGCCGCCGGGGGAAGGCTGCGGGGGACCGCCAATGGGAGGCGCGCCTATAGGCCCCCCGCGACCCGCCGCGTGCATGGGCGGCGCTCCGCGACCCATCTGGGGCGAAGGTGGGGGGACGGGAGCGGAGGGTTTGGGTTCGGGGGAAGTGAGACGCGGGAGGGGTGCAACGCAGTCACGCAAAATGCAGGTGCGGAGGAGGATGCGGGGGAGGATGGCGGGATGATACGGATGCGGGGGAGAATAGGCGCACAGATAGCTGTATGTGAAACGGGAAACGTCAAACGCCAAAACGCAAATAGCCAAACGTCAAACGTCAAAAGTCAAACAAGACGATCGCAGAAGAAACACGAAACTGTGTCGCAAAGTAATTCATCGCATCTCAGGCGGAACTGGAAGCGTCGTGACTCGGTGCGCACGTTGTGCATGAATGCTGCGGTGCGCGCGTTGTGCATGAATGCTGCGATGCGCGTGGTTCGGGTGCGGGATCCTCACGACGGCGGGCGATTTGGAGTCGTCGTGCGCCATCGAGGGAGCAGGCGGGGACGGCGACGGAGCGTTGCCGCCCCCGGAAGGAGCGGCGGTCGCTGGAGCTGCTCCGGGAGCCGCGCCAGCGGCCGGCGCTCCAACTGGTGGCATAGACTTGCCGCCTGGGGCTTATCGGGGAATAGGAGGAAAGAGCGGTAATATCGGATGTGAGTAGCGTGCGACAAGGGGAGTGCGGAGATCGAAAAGGTGTGCGGTGAATGAAACGGAGTGTGGGGACGAACGAAGGTGGAAGCACAGGAGGGCGATGCATGAAGAGATTTTTTTCCTTTTTTCAGAACCTACATTCCATACGTGTAGACTGACACATAAAAGCAGAGATCTGTATCTAAGAGTGGCAATGCATGTAAAATCGATCAGGATTAGGCGGAGAAACGAATGGCGAGAGGTGAAGGACGCACCCGTCATCCATGCAGGAAGAGTCATTCCGCGGCCGCGCCCAGATCCCGGTACAGGAGGGACGCCCGCCATGGCTGTTGTCGTGAAGTTATTGCTTGTAAGGACGCGATACTAAGGAGATAATTGTAGAACTTGGCGAAACCCTAGAAGCTCTGGTCGGGCTTTTCCTTCCAAAAAATCTGGTCAAGGTTGGCATAGCGAGGTTCTCAAATCCCGTATACTCTGTATGTTTATACTCACTAGTGGTTGAGTGTTGCGAGTGCAATCGAGTGAACGAACGAGAATTGCACTATCTAAGCAAGAATACAATGAGGGAAGGCATGAGCGAATAATATATAGCGAAACTACAGTGGTAACGGTAATGGACTGTGGTTGTCGCGTGACAGGCCTGGGACTGAGGTTGGGAAAAGTGTCGAAGCGGAGGCCCGGAGCGCGGGTTACTCGCCGAGCGGTGACGTCGGGATGCGACGTGCGAAGGTGGCGGGGGGATTGTCGATGCGAGAGTCGCGAGTGGTAATGGTGCTGACTGTGGTGCTAAAGTGGTGTCCGCGCTGAGCGGGGACGCGAAGTAAGGAAAAGGATTTTTCCTTACACTACCCCACCCGCTTGTTGGGCTGAGCGCCCTAGGATCTTTAGTAGAGTTAAAGTCGGAGTAAACGATGTAGTAGCGGAAGCGTTTTGAATGAAGTCCTTGAACCACCTTGCGCTAGTATGTGAGGGCAAAGTAAGTTGATTAAAGCAAAGAGATACAGGAATATATATATAAGTACAGAGAATATGAAGAGACATGATTGTAACTACTTTACTGTTGCGGTTCGATACAGTGCGACTCGGGCAGCTGCTCAATGTCGAGTCAGTTGTATGTCCTTGCTGTCGCGCTGCATTTGTCAGGTCAAGGGTCGCTGACCTTTGACTTTCTCGTAACCTCCAGCGGTTACATCAACCACCAAGGGTTGACTCGCTGGTGCTTCGATTTCCGCTGCTTCGCTTGTGTCTTGAAGTTTCGACACTACAGAGGCGCTTAAGACTATTTGTTCCCAACACTCCCCTTCGCTTCTGGAGTGTCGCTGATGGTGACGTCGCTTTGTCCAGTCAGCAGCATGCAGTACTCGAACTTCTGTTTTCCGAGCTTCTTGGTCAAGTAGTCAGCTGCCATCTCGGACGTGGGACAGTAGGATAGTTCGAGTTTCCCTTTCTCGATCTCGTCCTTCACGAAGAAATATCGCAGAGCGATATGCTTCGTTCTATTCGCGAATCCGCTCTTGTTGGCAATGCGAATCGCAGATTGGTTGTCGCAGAACAGAGTGAAGTTGGGTAACTCGGCTAACTTCGCTTCTTCCAGCAGCTCGCGAAGATAGAGTCCTTCCTTGGTGGCTGAGCAGAGGGCGATATATTCTGCTTCAGCTGAAGAGAGAGCGATTAGTTCCTGTTTGCTCGATTGCCAGGAGATAGGTCCGATAGGTTCGAGGCGGTAGATGTAGCCAGTGCGGGAGCGCCTGTTGTCTGAGTCGCCGGCGTGATCGGCATCGACGTAGCCGATTAGTTTCGCCGGTGTAGTTGTATTCTTGTAGTATGTCAGACCGATCGTTGAGGTGCTTACGAAGTAGTGGAGTGCGCGGTCGAGCTCCGCCAGATGTTCTGCTTCGGGCTTTTTGAGATAGGTAGCGAGCTGGCTTGCGGAGTAGGACAGATCTGGGCGGCAGGTGACGGCTGCGAAGAGAATGCAGCCCAGCTTTCTCTGGTAGTCGCGTATTCCGGCGGTTTTGAGTAGAGCGGGACCTCCCTTGTCGTTCCCTGCCATGTAGTGGTATGGCGTGGAGATAGTAGTAGGTGTGAGGGCGAAACGTTTGGTGATAGTGTCGGCATACTTTTCGGCGTTGAGATAGATCGCGTTCTCTTCTTCGCGGATGTTGAGTCCGAGGTACTGAGTGACGGTAGAGGAGACCGTGAGTGTGAGGTCCCTCTGCAGCTCCCCTTCGAACCAGGTGGTGACGTCGTCAGTGGAGCCAATGTAGAGTAGGTCGTCGACGTAGACGATCAGCAGGATATAGTCGGCGTTTTTGGTGAGTCGATACATCCCTTGGTCGTGAGGCAGTTGGCGGAATCCGATGCGAGTCAGGCGAGTGTGTAGGTGCTGTTGCCACAGCCGCGGGGCTTGGTTGATTCCGTAGAGCGATTTCAGCAGCTGGCAAACCTGGTTAGGTTCCCCGTGGGTACCGTGTGGGAGTTCGACGAAGATTTCGGCGTCGACGGGTGCGTAGAGGAACGCGTTGGCGACATCGATTTGCCGTAGTTTCTTCTTCTTCATAGCGGCGATCGCGAGGAGAATTCGAAGTGAGGTATGTCGGCTGACCGGGGCGAATGTCTCGGTGAAGTCCCGTCCGTGCTCCTGGTCGAATCCACGCACGACCCAGCGTGCTTTGAATTTCTCGATTGTGCCGTCTGCCTTTGTTTTGATGCGGAAGACCCATTTCCCGGTGAGGATGGTCTTGTTCCTTGCCACGCTTACAGGAACAACTTTCCAGGTGTTACGTTCCTCCAGCGCTTTTAATTCTTTGTCCATGGCTTCACGCCATTTCTCCCTGTGTTCCCCCCCCAGAGCCTGCTGAACCGTCGCAGGCTCTTTAGGAATAGCATTGCCGTGGACTGCGGTGACGAGGTCGAGAATCTGCAGTCCAGTCTGTGAGTAGCGGGGAAGAGTTGTGTCCTCGGGAGAAGCTGCTTCATCTCCCACTTCTAGGTCGGGTATGAAATTCGGCCCTATCCGTTCTGCTTCGTTGGTGTTGACTGTCGCAGGTGTTACGTAACCATTGTCGGCGAAGTGGTAGAAGACTTCGGCGTTGGTGCTTTCGCGAGGATTTTCTTCGTCCATGGGGACGTTGACGGAGCAGAACGGGAGAGGTCCGGCTTCTTCTGATGCCTTGTCGACGTTCTGCTCGTCCCAGTGTGCTTCGTCCGCTGCTGAGGCGAAGGCTGGGTCACCACGAAAGCCACCTGTGGGGTCCTGATTTTCGTGCAAGTTGGCGATGTACGTCTGAAGCGTGAGTCGTTCGTAGAAGATCACGTCACGTGCTGCTACTGTTTCCTTGGAGTGGACGTCGAAGATTTTCCACGCGTTGTAATTCTTTTCGATGCCGAGGTGTAGTCCCCATTGTGCGCGTTGTGAAAATCTTCCCGCTCGTGATTCTGGGGGTCGGTACTGTACCATGCACCCGAAAACTCGTAACATTTTTGTGCTGCCCTGTTTCCCTGTCCACAACAGATGCGGTGATGCGTTGTTCGGAAGTGAGGACGACGACATCAAGTTGTGCAGCATGACAGCATGGTCCATTGCTGCAGGCCACTGGTGGTTGGGTAGCCGCATGCCACGTAACAGTTTGCGCATGCTGTTCTGCAGAGTCCTGTTCATTCTTTCTGCGACACCTTGCTGCTTATGGGCGTAGGGAAGGGAGAGAAGCTGCTTGATTCCTCTTTCCGCCAGGTACTGCTTGAAACGCTGAGAGGTGTATTCTCCTCCTCCGTCTGACTGGAAGCTTTCCAGCTGTGCTCCCGACTCTCTCTCTGCTACTGGTAGCCAGGCGGCGAACGGTGCGAGTGCCATGTCGCGGCTGGGTAGGTTTAGATGCCAGACGTATCAGGTGGCGGCGTCGATGAAGGTGATCGTGTAGTTGTAAGTAACTTGTCCTGGTTCTCGATTGAAGAGAATATTGCTGTACACCTTCTCGAGTGGTGCGTACGCGGGTGCGCTCGGGTTGTGGTGAGGAGTGAACGGTCGATGTGGTAAGTTGGTTTCGGGGCAGGTAAGGCAAGTTCTGTCGAATTCTCTAAGTAAATTAAGAGTAGAAACGGGGGCCTAGGCTTAGTAGCCTAGGCCCTAACTTAGGTATCGAGCGGGTTTTCCCCTAGGAGCAATGTCGAGTGAGTTGAGAGAGGAAAATTGGAGAATGTGTGTCTTCACTATAGTTTCGAAGTACATATAGCAAAGGAAACAAAATAAGGTGCACCACCAACAAAAGTTTACATAACTACACTAACTACAACTACAAGCAATTATAAAACATGACAAAATATTTCGACACGCCCCCATAATGCTTGTAGGTAGGTATGTAGTTACAGCAACAGCAGGTACCCCTACCATCTCCTCACCCTCCTCCTTCCCCTCCCCCACACTGCTGCAGAAGCAGCAGAGAAAGGGGGAAGAGAGGAGAGGTGGAGGGACGGCTGCTTGTTGCCTCACACCCGCCACCCCGGTACCACACCCCCTCCTCACCCACATCCTCACACCCTCCTCCCCCAGCGGGAGCTGCAGCGGTGGGACTGAAAGAAGGAGGAGGGAAAGGGAGAGAGTTGACCCCACGCTCCAACACCCTCCACCCCCATACCCTCCTCCCCACGGCTGCAGGGAGACAAGAGAAAGGGGGGGGTGGGAAGGAAGAAAGCCGCAGAGCGGCGAAGAGGCGTCGGTGCAGATGGGTCAGGGGCGGCAGCAGGGAGTGCAGGGGCGGAAAGGCCCGTCGCGGGCCAGTGCCACGGGGCACACGACGGGTAGCATAAAAGGGCCCGATCGTGTGCCTCGGGGCACACGACGAGTAGGGCACCATCGTGTGCCACGGGGCGCACGATGGGCAGTAGAAGGGCACCGTCGCGTGCCACGTGGCGCGCGACGGGCAGGGAAGGAGTCACACGCCCGTGGG